ACAGGAAGAGTGTTTTGTCCACGATATGGCACCTGTGAAAGTTCTTCAAATTATAGAATTCGTTTCTGTTTGTGATCGTTGGCTCTGCAGTGGTAGCTAATTTGGTGCCCACCGATCTATAAAGCTGGCACTTGAATGACAGACATTCTTTTCCGTTCCTTTCGCTCCTCCCGTACAGAGGATCGGTCCTCAAGGGTGGCTGTCGATGGTTATGCAGCCTATATATAATCCATACGGCTCAGTTCTCGTTCAGACGTTTTGTTTGTCGATTTACTTATGCGTCGAAGTAGCAGATCATCACGTGTAGATGTCCAGTCTTACATGTCACGTTTTTGATCAAACTGTTTTTAACCGATGCGGATTTTTTTCTTCAGCGGCGCATCGAAGTAAGCACTGTGAATGTAAAGAAAATTTGCGACAGGATCAGCAGATGTGTAAAAAACTTCACAACCGTACCGTGAAAAGAACAATATGAGGATTGAGGAAAAATCAAGGCAGGTGTGCAGAATTAATCTTACGGAAATGTGACTGCTCGGAGAAGAGGATGGCGCGCACGCTATGTCTGAACCGGGAAAGCAGTACTTTACATTTAACGCACAGGACAGCCGGGAAGTTTGTGCTTTTGAAGCCATCTCATGGGTGTGTGAACCAGCAAGTGTGATAACTATCATGATTCGTAATCAGATTTACGGTATGTACGGTAGCCATTACGGTCACGAGATTACGGTCGGTCGACGATGGGCCGATGGCGCGCTGGTCGACGTGCTGACAGCACAGAAGTTTCGCTCATCGTCGTCGCCGGTTGCGCTTAAAGAAGAAGCAGCAGTTGAGCGCTGTGTTGCCTCGTTGGGCGGCCAGCAGTTAGGCCGGTCGAAGGGCATAAATATGTGTGCAACCAAGCGAGGCAAAGAGACTCGCGTTCCTCTCTGCTCACAAGGCTTTCTTCGAGGCTGAAGCTGAGTGAGGTTGAGAGACAGCCTTTCGCCTGAGTTTATTATTGACGGAGATGCCCGTTTTTGAGTCATCAGCCAGTAGTGTCTTCTTAATAAGGAAACATTTATAGCTATGCAGCGATAAATTGGTTTGATTTGCTGTTCAATGTTTCCTGTCCTTCAAGATGGTGCTCACTTGAGATTATTTAGTCGGTAGGGGCTTTGAACTTACAGTCGACAGGTCGTCGAGTTAGTATCGTTTATCCGTCTGAGGTAAATGAGTACTAGTTTATGGATGAGGGAAGATGACAAATAAATGCGTAACGACATGGTAGGATAGAACAATACAACAGGCAGTGAGAACTAAAGCAAACCAGCCATAACGCTCTTAAGCTGCAGCACTACCTACCCGTATTTACTGCTACCCTGTTTACCATCACAGAGCGCGGCCCTCAGATTTTTGATCAAATTAAAATCCATACGGGTATAGGTGACTTTTTGGTATGTCACAGAGCAGAGGACACCACACAAAATATTTTTTAATTAACAAGGCCATTTGACGCTTTGAACCAAGCTCGGTTCATTTTCCAGCAGCAAGTTGTCGAAATTTTTTTTCGCAGT